TCGTGGGCGTTGTTCACGTGAGCCGGCCGGCCCGCTGCGTGCCCACTGCACAGTCCCCGTGCCGTCCGTTAACGTGACGGTGGCACGTAGGCGGTGGGCTGAACGGGTTCGCCAGGGCCCGGTGGCGGTGGCGGTGGCAAGTGCTGAGCGTACAGAATAAATTGAGTGTGCAATTTGCTATAAACGTATTCATAGGGTGTGCCATCACTTATAAAAGTTAATAATTAAGGCCTTGTTTAAATCCAGGGTATAAAGTTTTGGGGTGTCACATCGGATGTCACATATGGGTATCGCATGAGGTGTTTGGATACTAATAAAAAAATAAATTACAAAATCCGTCAGTAATCCACGAGACAAATTTATTAAGCCTAATTAATTCATCATTAGCATATGTGTTACTGTAGCACACATTATCAAATTATGGACTAATTAGGCTTAAAAGATTCGTCTCACAAATTAGTCGCAAGCTGTGCAATTAGTTATTTTTTTAGTCTATATTTAATACTTCATGCATGCGTTCAAACATTCGATGGGATAGGTAGTAAATTTTAGGGAGAAAAACTAAACAAGGCTTAAATTAAATTTAAATTGGAGTATAGGATCCATGAAGCCTGACGTGGTAACCTGTAGCGGTATGGACCGTGGCAGCCAAATGAAAAGGTTTGATCTTAGGATAAGTCATAAAGAATGGGATAAATATAAATCGATAGATTTAGCTATGTGCAACTTTTTTTTCATGGGTATATGGTTAAGACAAGTTTATATGCATACATGTATCCGTTTTCAATTTCAATAATAGTAAAACTTGAGTTGATTGTAGTCCAATGTACGGTGTACCACTGTATTTCTCTTGGCTTCGATCCTCCTAAACTAGACACGTTATTAAAATTACCTTTCCAATTTAGTTATAGTTTTTTTTTTACTTTCTCAAATCACAAACTTAGGACAGTAATGTAGGTTCATGAGATATTAAAAAAGAAAGTTGATTTGTTGTATATAGCAGGATGGCACAAAGTTTGATGGTCTATCATACCTCAATCCACACTCTAAGATGTTGTTTTGAGTAAAAACATTGATAGAGCCAACAAACATATAAAAAAAATAGAATTACGGCAATAATGTGAACAAGGGATGCTCAAGAGAGGAACCGGTACTCATTATGTCATTTTTTTCAAATAATCATAACTAAATTGGTGGGGTTAGATTCATATCCTTTGTTTTGTGTATTGCACTATCCGTAGATACAAGATACAACACATATCTTGGATATTGTAGGGCTCTTATTGCAATAGCAATATCACAGATAGATAGTGCAATACTTGTATACGATGCCTTGGTGTCTATAGCAGTTGACACTGACAGTAGGTCCCCGACGGCTGCCGCGAGTCCATGGACTAATCCACTATCGCCGGTCTAACCAGGCTAAACAGGACAAAGCGTTTTTTTTTTTTTGATAGGACAAAGTGTTGCGACAATTTTACCCGGTCGTTGGCCTTTATCAGTGGACAGGACAGTGGTGTGTGCGTTGCCGGCCCGCGGGGCCCGGGCGCGTCGTTTGGCCTTTGTTGCATCAAGACCGGGTGTACGCAGAGCTGGCCGGGTGGGCGCCACGCCCATGCGATGCGCCAAGGTGTCAGGCCAGCGCCGGCACGTGGGGTGCGTGGGTGCCAACCGCTCAGATGAGCTGGGTCATGTGGAGGCGCCAGCGCGGCCGGCTCAGCAGCTCGCCCACTAGGGCCGTTGCTTGGTTTGTTTTGTCACGGCCACGAACACGAAGGGTGCATTCAAATACTTGGAGTGCAGACTGTGCAGTTGAAATTTCAAAATTTTCGAGAATTCATGGAGTGGTTCACCAACAATAGGGACTGTTCTTTGAATTTTTCGGGTTGATCTCAATCTCAAGCGTTGTACGCAAAACGGCATCGCGTGAAATGCAACTACCCATGACCTGATGGACGGCGCTGTTACATTTGGTACGCCGCACGTACGCGCAGTGCAGCGCCCGTGCCTTTCTGGCCGCTTGTAGCTCTCGCCGAGCACGGGGCAATTGCTCATTCATGAGGGGGAGCACGCACGCATCACCTCCGACCTGAAACGGAACTCGGCGCCGGACAACGTCACGGGCGAGCTCGCCGCCTTAATTAGCCCGCCCTTCAGGTCCCCCGTCCCCGGGCGAGCATGGAAAAGAGAGCGACGCGCCTGCGATCGACCGATCCGGCCGACGGATCCGCGCGACCGCGACACGCTCGCTGATTTTTATTTTGTTTTTGGGCCGGGGTGCGCGCGGATATTTTTGCCTCGCCATCGCCAAGGGCCAGGGGCTTTGGTCGTGGTGCCGGGAACTTCACGGGGGACCCGCGCCCGGCGGGTGGCGATATCGCGAGCAGCCACCCACCGCGGCGGGCGGGGGCCGGTAGGGACCCCGGCGCTCGAATAGTATTTTATTTTATCTCCCGAGCTTACTCCTCACCGGCCGCCACGAGCCTGACATCCGCGGCGCGATCGTATCATGGCGGCTGGTAGGGGGTCGCCAGCGCGCACAGCTGCGAGACAGCCGGGATCGATATCCTGCTCACCTCCTGGCTCCTATCTATCCATCGAATCGACCGAACCGCAGAGGCAATGGCAATGATCTCTCGGCCGGTAGAACGACGAAGACGTTCAGGAGCAGCCAGACCGACGGATGGATAGTTATAAGTGGAACGAACTCCTAACAGTAACTAGCTAGGATCACAGAAACGGCGCATGCAGTGGACAGACACCGGCACACGCTGCTACTCTACTCTACTCTACTCCCAGTAGCAAATTTTACTCCTGGATGTGTGGATGGTTTCGGGTTTTCTTTCCTAGGCTTTCTTTAGATTGTCTCAAAATTTTAAGTTTTTTACTCTCTTTCCATCACATTAATTTTTGGACGCATGCATGAAGCATTAAATGTAGGTAAAAAAAATAACTAATTACACAGTTTGGTTGTAAATCACGAGACGAATCTTTTGAATCTAGTTAGTCTATGATCAAACAAAATTTGTTAAATACAAACAAACGCGTGCTACAGATGTCCAGATTACAAAAATTTACAATCTAAACAATGCCCTACCAGCACAGCAGTAACCTACCATCACCTGCGATTCCATTCCCACCAATCTGGAGCACGAGTAGACCTGTTTGCTGCTATTGCTAGCAGTAGTAGAGACTTGTGGCGGCTGCTTCAGGCTCAAGCTTTGGGCAGCAGCGCCTGTCCCAGTGAGCGAGTGCAGTACAGCTGACAGTGAGGCAGCCAGCGGTGGAGACAGGCTGACAGCGCCACGGCGCTCCAGCCTTCGCTTCCACGATTGGTACCTCGATTATTCGTCCAGGTCATCAGACCAAAACCGGACGCGATTATTGGTCCAGGACGCTTTTCTCTCCCCGAGGACCCAGCGGATTATCGCGCAATTGTTAACGCCGCAATTTGGTGGCGGGGGATGAATGAATGGATGATACAGGTGCTTGCGTACAAAAAGATGGCTCCGTTCCGTTTGGTGGCTGCGATGACTGGACGACAGGAAGGAAGGAGGGGCAGGGCAGGGCAAGCGCAAACAGGGAGGAGAGATTCCTTGCAGCCAGTGGCGGATGCAGAACGGGATTGAAGGAGGCGAGCTTCATTTTTCTTTCCTCCACCTGTTAGCAGGAGCAGGATCAGCACTCAGCAGGCCTGTAGATCCGCCCCTGCTTGCTGCGAGCTTCCGATGTTGTTAGCAGGAGCAGGATCAGCACTCAGCAGGCCACGCCATCGCCCCCGCTAGGCACTCTTGGCAGCCAGTGCCATAGGCCGTCGCATAAAAAAAATTTACGTGCCAGACTGCCAGTGTGTGTACGCTCGCGTGGATCTCTCGCTTGTTTTTGTTCCGGCCTGCGTGCTCCTGTAGCTCTATGTCCGCGCCGCGGCGTTGCTTCGCTTTCAGCCTTTCAGGCAGGTGCACATGAACCCAAGGCAAAGAACGGAGAGCGAGCGCGGCAGACTTTGGATACAAATATCTTCATATTTATACGAGTAAAGCTTTTCAACTTAAGTCGAAGTTTTGGTCTAGGCCAACCTGGACCGGCCTAGCCATCCGAATTTTGTTTCATTGCAGCGAGTCGCAACAGTAATCTACACTCGACCAACATATTGAGGCTTGAGGACACGTTTGGATGCACAAACGACTCGCACAAAAACTAGGGCAACAAAAACTAAGGCAACAGAACAAGACACAAAAACTAAGGCAACAGAACAAGACATCCAGACACATTGTCTTCCACTTCTCGCTGGGCGAAATCCACACATTTTTTTTTCCTTCGGATTCTTGCTGGGCGAGGTGAGGGTCACTAATAACAGATCAAAAAGCACAGCCTATGTGGCTATGTCCCCTTCAAATAAGGCCTTGTTTGGTACGGCTCCAAACAACTCAAACCTTTGCTACAGTACATGAAGCTGGAGCTGGTAAAACCAAAAATAGTGACTTTCCCAGTTCCTAGTTCATTTTAAGAGAAAGAAAAACAGTTAATTGTTAAAATGCAGAGCCAGAGACGTCCGGACCTCTACCGTCGGGACCTAAGAGCTTCAAATACTCCAGGTTACGCGTACCAACACTCATGCTTCCATTCTAGAATAGAACCCCTCCCAACACAAATTTTGTACCTTATGATAAGATATTGGGACGGAGTAAATCCTGAATGATCAGACAAGATATACTGATCCAAGAAAGCAATATATCACTGTTTGAAACATGATACACGTTTCAACACAACATTTAAAGCCACAAAGATCAACACTACACAGAACAAATCTTCGTAGAACCCCCGGAAGCCTCACATCTGTGGCATTCCAAGAAATATGCTGAATAACGAACTTCTTGACTTTTCTGCTGATGAACAAAAACTTTCAATGCTGTTAGTGATATCCCCTAACTGTTAGTTCTGTGAGCAAAAATGCAGCAAAATCAGTGCCTTACATCTCCCCTCAGATGAACTCCCATGTATCAGTAGTATGATTTCCTTGGATTGTTCTGCAAATATAGCAGAAGTATTAGGCAAACAGAAAGAGCAGGGAACTCCTGGAAGCAGGCAATGGCAACCAATATACCAGAGGGTTCGGCCTATAGCGGTATCCAAGCATCATTCGCTTCTTGTATTGCTCGTACATGTCATCTTCAGAGGTGACCTCACCAGGCTGGACCGCGCCAACACCAAGATGATCCTTCTTCACATCTCCAGCCATAATGGGATCTGCACGGCCTCTTCTCTCGCTACCAAGACCCTCACCTGCAGAGTAAACTATATGTAACACCTGGAAGTGGAATGGTGCAAACTGCAAATATCTCTAACTCCCTTGACTACAGGCCCAACAAACAACTCCCACCAGTGTTAGGATGTTGAGAATCAATGCATGCAACACAATGCTGAGGAAAAAAAATCTATCATAGATAGTTCTTATCTGGAGTTTGGGATTGAAGGCTTTGTTCACAGCAAACTATCACATTATTGAAGGTTTGCTTGATGAACATGACTAAAACACAGAGAGAGATGGATACAGGCTAGACACCAACAAATAAAAGCAATGATGATCAGGGTCCAGATGGGTGTTGTACTGTTGTCATAAACTTAAACATCAATCAGTCATTCAGCCTCACAAATACCGTGGACTTTTAAGTTTGATCTACCATTCAAGTGGTTATAGTTTTGTTTTAAAGTCAATTTAATGATATAAAGCAATTTATTTTTGAAAAGAAAAATGTGACAAGGTCTTACAGAGAATTACTGTAATGGTAACTATGTCATTAAGTACTCAGGGACTAACCTTCCCTCCAACCCATCTTAGATAGAAGTTTGTGCCCAATATTGTCTGCCTGAATCTTAGCCTTCTCGGCGGCTTCTTTGGTAGCCTTTTGTGCTGCAGCATCATTACAGCGTGCCATGAACTTTTCAAGTTCTTCTGGAGGAATGAAGTCACCCATGTGGTGTCCCTTCTTAGGAGGACCTGCAAAACAAGAATTAGTAGTGCTGGAATAAACATTGAAGTTTCTACATTCTTTCAACAAGGAGAATAATGTTGCAGAGGTACCTTGAAGAGAAGGAGGTGGTGGCATTTCATCTTTCGACTGCCTTGGTGGCCGCTTCCGTTCTTCCTGTGCAGCCTTCTTTGCATAGAATTCCATCAATGCTACAGGATCTGACGGTGGAGTCATATGATCACCTGCAACAAGATTAGATACCATTGAGCACATATACTAACAATCAGACAGTCCAAGTTGGAAGAAGATGGTTTTTATTTTTGAAGCAAACTATAGATCAGGGAGATGACAAGCATATGGTCTCGGTGTTTCACAACAGAAACCCTACAACATATCTATTGCATGCATTAAGCCAAAAGAATGAAACAGAACATTCACAACATCAGAAATAAGAAGATACTTATAGGCAATACAAGTGCAAGACACAGATGACTTGCAAACTAAAAATAGTAACCAGGTGAACACAGTCCAGTAACATAGAGAAAGTACTCCCTCTGTTTTTGTACATGTCGTATTAGTTTTGCCCTAATAAGTCAAACATTTCTATCTTTGACCATCAATTTTTAAAAAAATTGTCAGGTTAACAACAAAAGATTTATGTTTTTAGATCACTATGAGAAACACTTTCATAATATATGTTCACATGTTCTGAAACAACATGGATTTTTTGAAATTGATGGTCAAAGTTAGGAATGTTTGACTTAGGACAGACCTAATACAACATGTAAAAAAAATGGAGGGATTAGCTAAATAACATATGAAAAAGACAAGGAAACAATGTATGCAAATTTTACCGTAACTAGAAGAGCTTCCTTGGAAAGATCTACCCTCATATGCACCATACAAAGCTGATGCAGGTGTCTGATAGTTAGACTTCTGTTCAAATGAGCTTCTATGTGTACCACCTGGTGCCTTGAAGCTTGCAATGCCAGAGTTAGCTGCATTAACAAGAGCATACAGCATCAAGACTTGTACAGAAGTTAAAATTATAGAAAACAACAAAGAAATTGTGCCACGAACCACTTTTTGATGCTTCAGCCTCCTTTGACTGAGCAAGAGCCTTTTCCTCTTCAGCAAGCTGATACTCATAATATTTGTAGTCTGGACAGTGTTTGTCAAATAAAAACCTGCAAATGACCCAAGATTTATATACCAATAATTCTTAAAGTCAGATATTTGAAAGTAAAATTGAACTTATTGAGAAAAACCACAACAAAAAAACAGATCGAGTTGGTAAGAAAAAAAAGTAGTTTGTTCGTACTTGAATGGTGTATCTCCAGGATTCCTTTGCCGTGTGATATTCTCAAATTGTCTCCCATTTTTGGCAACAAAGCTTGCCAATTTGTCAGCGACTTGTCTCACTGTCATATCATTTGGTGGGGGTGGGGCTGCATGTCACTTAAAGAACTGATTAATATCAAGCGCATGACAAGGCAATGCAAATTACTGCAGTAGACCCTCCAACTCTCTCAATCACATCCTTCCCAGCAATGTCAATTTAGTTATAATCTATAAGCTGCAGTCATAAGAAAAAGACAAAACCTTCACGACTTTCTGCTGACAATAGCGACTGATAATGTATGCAGATGCTGAGGAAGATGTTTTTTTTGTAAACCTAAGAATGTATGCATCATACAAAAAAGGAGAGTTTACAACACCTTGGTGCAACAGCAATCAATTTCCATGGCTATTTCTAATCTAAAAAATAAAACGTTGTTGGTCAATTCCACCACCACTAGCATTGCAATTTGTAGCTACCAAGATTCATTTTTATCACTTGTATAAATGCATGAATTCAATATTATTATGGAATGTTTAGATGATACAAAATTTCAAGACCATAGTTTTGAATACATGGGAAATAAAATAACATTGATTGTGAAAAACACCATATTTTACAATATATATAAAAAAAAGTGGCGTATTTGGTGGTTTTCAGTTAGTAATTTTCCTTTAAGATCAACTATACATTATACTATATAATCTAGCCACCACAGGAATCCTAAATAAAGATAGATACATAGATACTACTAGCTTTGATACATAGCAATAGTTTATATATGGAAGATCGAAAGAGCCTAAGGTAAGTCTGTGAACAATCCAGAATGAATGTACACAATACAACTTTGTACATTAGGAATGTGTTTAATAATAGTAGTGCACGAAATTTGACAGGCCAAGCCGCATAACTCGCATTGGTGAGAAAGTAAATGTGAGGCGTGCTTTTTAAAAAAAAGAAGAAGTGTTGAATGGGTTTTTCTTCAAAAACTCCAAATAACATGGTACTTGGAATCCTAAAGTTTCTAAAACTAAATTGCTGTATCCAAATACCTAGAAGCTTTAAATCCTATGGTATATTTTAGAAACCATACAAAACCCAAATATTACCAACAACCAAACAGCCCTTTAGTTTCAATAAAAGTATAATGCAGTACTGGGTTCTAGTTAAATCAGTATGTATAAGAAAATGAAATGCAAACTATATAGATATTACTTAGTTTCACTATCAAATTTTATCGCAGTATTGCCAGGACAACACCGTCAAATGGATGGAATAGAGAACTCTACATGGAAACTGATAATACAATCATCTGCACCAGGGTAATACTTTAGGAATGGAAATCCGAATTCAGAACTCATTTCAATAGTAAAAACCTAAGGTATGTCACATGCTGAAATGATTTGCATCAAATTCAATGAGATTATCTAAATCCGCAACTGAATTGAAGGCAAAAAAACACTACTTGCATGGAAAGCTAAAAGATAATATATCACTGATGTTCTAGCTCGGTTACTGAATTAAGAGTCTGATAACATGTTTGCACCTAATCATTTGATGGAAACTACAACCCAAAACATCATCACTAAACGAGTTAATAGTAAAACAGCAAGAAATGGATAAATATAAATGATTACCAACAGCCCCGGCCAGGGCAGCTGCCGCAGGAGCATCAGCTTGCACAGATTTCTGGCGCTTGGTGGGCTCCTCCCTCTCCACATCCGCGGCATCCTCGTCCTCATCATCGGCTGAGAAGACAGGTGCAACCGCGACCTTGGCCTTCTTGAGGCTAAAGGCCAGCTTACCAGCCGAGGCTACCGGCCCAGCCTTCTTCAGCTCGAATGGCCTCTTGTTTGCCACAATAGCAAACCCCTGCTTGGGGTTCGCATGCTTGGGAGCCGATGACGCAGCGGAAGCGGCGGCCTTCTTCTCCTGCGCCTCCTGCTGCATCTGCTTGAACCTCTCCATGAAGGAGCCGTCGTTGGTGAAGAGCCCCTTATCCATGGCTCGACGCAGATGCTTCCGCGGCCCTTGCTTGCGGCCTCAAACAACTACGATTCTTTCAACATCCAATCAACACACCACCATCGTCGCACAAAAATCCAACAACGCCCACTCAACCCTAGAGCGCGACTCCTCCAGAATAATCAACTCGAATGTTGCAAAAACAAAGACGGTACGAAACTCCGCCGCGGAAATTTGCAGGGGGAGGAGGTCCCGGATCGGTGCACGAGGGCTCGAATCGCAGGATCAGATCGAATGCGGGCGGATGGACCAGTAATTTACCTGATGCCGCCGAGGGGGGATCGGACGGGGAACCCTCGCAGACAGAGAGGGGGGAAAGTATCGTGCGGCGTGGGGATCGATCGGGGAAGGAGAGAGAATATGACGGCGGGAGGATACCGATTCGCCTTCCGCGTCACCGCGTGCGCAGGTGCGCGTCCCTGCAGAACCGGGCCCAAAGGGTTTACGGGTTTTGTGGCCTTTCTGGGGTCTCTGGCAGGCGGGCCACGGACGACTGCTTTTTTTTTGTTTTTTTGAAGATGAAGACATGTCAGATTTATATACTTTCTCTATTTGAAACTATATAGTTCGGAGTAAGTTGTTTTAGCTTCATTCTAAATCAAAATTTCTACCTTTAATCAAGTTTAAAGAAAAATACAACAAACATCTTATCGATTTCAATCAACATTTAATACTCATTGGAGAGTAAGTTTGATGTGATGGGGAATCTTCTTTTTGCATAGTGCCAAATTTTGGATTTGGGGTGAACTAAACAGGGCCTTTCTCTATTTGAAACTATATAGTTCGGAGTAAGTTGTTTTAGCTTCATTCTAAATCAAAATTTCTACCTTTAATCAAGTTTAAAGAAAAAATATACAAACATCTATAAGACTGTCTCCAATGGATGACCCATATGGAGACCCAAACCAAAAATAGATCGTGGATGGTATTGTATCAGCCTCCAATAGAATACCTATATACGAAACCCACTTTAGGGTTACAGCAGATGCATAACTCAAATATGAGTATCCTCTCTCCTAGAGACTCATTTGCGAAATGAGTTTTCTTTTGGATCATGTTGCTGGAGAAGATAAAAAATGGGTACTAAACCCTTTACCTATAGCGCTACCAAAATATGAAATGTGTCTTGTATTTTGAGGTAATGTTGTTAGAGATAGTCTAACGACCTCAAACAAGATTCATTACATATACCATGAAATATTTTTGATAGCCTTTAATAACTAACCAAAAATGATTTGGTTTAAAAATAAAACTCTACTTTACTCAAGAAAAACTAATATAAAATCTCTCTCCTTTTAGTATAAATGGGAATAGTTGTGTATCTCTTTTATACAAGAACTATAAGAAATGTTACAGTTACGAGGGAGGAACTCATAAGATGACTAACGATGTATACTCAATCAAACCAGCCATTGGCTATCTCCACGGACAATTTTTTTTAATTTGGACTATATAGTCTTGGGTGCTTCTTCTTTTTTTGAGCCCCTATTCTTAAGAGTATCTTTGAAAATCTTAATTAGACCGAGAAACCTCGAGATTGACAAAGTCACAAGAATGCCACAGTTATGAGGGAGGAGCTCGTAAGATGCCTGACGATGTATACCCAATCAAACCAGTCATCGACTGACTCAATGGATAATACTTTCAACTTGGACAATAGTCTTGCATGTTTTTTTTTGTGAGAACTTACCCTTATGAATAACTTTGAAGAAGTGAATCAGATCGGCAAATCTCGAGATTGAAGAAGTCACCAAAGACGCCTCGTTGTCGAGGGGCACAATTTTACCCCGTCAAATTTTGGGATAAATTCAAGAAAATACGAGTATCCATGTCAAGTCGAGAACTTGAATCCGGATAGACATGTTCCATCACAAGCATCCCACATCAAGTTGAAGACTTGATAAGAATAATATTATGTTTGAACTTGGTGTTTGAGTTGTAACGTCGTCCTATTACAGTTTATTTCACGTTCTTGTGATATAATTAGGCTAACTTTTAGTTAAAGATAATAAAGTTTAAATTATAAAATACATGCATGCCTTATATTCGGAGTCGGAGAGAGTATTTAGGGTTCATCAAAGTGCAATAAATATAATGCACCGTTTTTAACGATCCAAAATTCGTCACTAATTTGCCAAAAAAATATTTATGACAGAACGACGCTTTTACCGCGACAAAAGTAGTTCGTTACCTATTTGCACCTGTCTACTAGTGGATCTCATCCGCATGACATGTCGACCGTTCAAAGCAGGATCATAATATATACCTCATTGTATATAGTACATATTTTATTTTGAAGTAGAAAATCACAAATAGAATATGGCCACTAATTCTTATTCCCTCTGTCTCAAAATAATAATTTTCTAAGGTTTAAAATGTATACCAAAATAAATAATATTTTTCTACACAAACATGGCTCCTAATATGGAAGCTAATCACGGGTGCATGCAAATGATAACTGTCAAATACTAACTGTCAAATACCATAGATATCCTTCGAAATGAAAGGATATGGAGGGTATATGGGCCTTTTGCTTGTGTCCTTAATTTGTCTAAAAATTTGTATAAATTTATTTATTCTGGGATGGAGGGAATATACATCATATTTGTCAACTACTTCAGAATTAACATAATAATTTTATAAAAGCATTCTTATTTCTGCAACTAATTGTACTACTTGGTAAAAAAAATTAAGTTCAACATTTTTTCAACACAAAACGCACTATATCGACGAACAAAGGATCCACGTTATTGAGGATTCCATGGTTTAATCAAAATGCAACGCGGAAATAAACTCGCTGCAGTTCAGCCACAAAATAAAGCAGACAATCGAGAAACATGGACTGAGTGCAAAAATGGTCATGCACGTGAGCACGTCTGACATATCGAGAGACATGGACTGAGTGCAAAAATGATCTTGCGTATTAATCCTTGTAGTGGATACAGCTATCGGTGCTCTGAGATGCACTTGATTCTTTAGGTTGGGGATAACCACTCAAGGCACCGTCTTCTACTACCGAGGACTGAGCATTCTAAGCTTTGAAATGCGATGACAAAATCTATAGAAGCAGTCGCCAGTATCCCTCACATGTTTGGCCCGTTTTTTCTGGGCGTATGAGGGATTTCAGAACAACATCGAATACATCCCCGTCCTCCATCTCAAGGTCCGCCGGAGTCTGCTTACCATCAGCACGCTTCCCGGTACGAGAGTCAACGAAGTGCGACTCGCCGGCGGTGGGCACCATGGCGTAGTAGAAGTCCATCACGTCGCGCACCACGTCGGTCCTCCGCATGGTGCGCGCGGGTGAACCGGTGCCCCTTGAGGTCCTGCAGCGTGACGGCGATGAACGACGCTTGGCTTCATCGCCAGGAAGAAGTGGACCCGGTCCCCGTCCTCCATCCCGTAGTAGTCCGCCGGCGTCCGGCCGCCCTCCACCCGCTCGCCGCGGAACAGGAAGGCCCCCTCGCCGCGCGGCACCGTCGGCACCATGGCGTAGTAGAAGTCCGTCAGGTCCTTGAGCCTGTCGCTCCTCCGCATCCTGCGGGTGATCGTGCGCCCTTCCTCGTCCTCGACGACGGGGGTCACGAACAACGGCTTACACGGTGGCGCCATGTGCATTCATCGATCCTGCTGTCGTCGTCTCCGGACGTTGTTGCTGCCGCCGCCACCGCCGCTAGGTTTTGCAGCCGGCGTGCGCTGATTACGGTTCCTATTTATAAGGTCTGACCGTCATGCACGGTTCGGTTTTACGAAGTGGGCATGCAAATACACACGCCGGAGATAAATCTTCAGGGCCGGGCTTCCTGGCCAGATACCAGCCCAGTAGACCACTGCACCAAACGATGTGGGTGAAGCAGAGAATGGCCAGACGCGATGAGCAACGAAAGCGATCCGTGCGCTAAGCAAAATGACTGACAGAGGAAACTTAAATTCGTAAAGCACTACTGTTACATAAAAGTTTCGGAACCATATTCAGGCAATCAGGTCTCACGTGTCAAAGAAGAAGATCTTGGAGGTCAATGGTCATACACCATGAGTTGTGACCTCACAAATGCCGCACCAAGAGAGCTGGAAAAACTCGACCATATCGCCATCCTCTATTTGAAATCCATGGGGAGTAGTGACCTCATGGCTTGGTGGGCACATGCATGTAGTAGGAATTTAAGAAGCCAACATGCATGCGGTTGATCTTGCGCCCTTCCGTGTCATGCACATCGGCTCAAAGCACACATGTGTAAAAAAATATCTTTAGAGCCACTTTATATCCTTCCATATTCATAAAATCGGCTCAAATGACACATATATAAAAAAAATCATCTCTAGAGCCTCTTTATATCCTTCCATATTGATAAAAGTAGAGATTTTAGTAAACATACCAACAGTTTTTTTATTAGATCTCCAGATATTGACATCTTCTATTCCTAATTTCTCACTCACCAAAATAAAGAAAGAGGCTTACTCTCTAGATTGTGTAGAAAATATAGAGAAGCTATTAGAGGGTGTAAAGGTATATAGATAAATGATTTTGAGTAAAATACGCCTGGCGGCCCTCAAACTTGGCAGCGCATGTCATCTAGGTCCATGAACTCCTAAAATGCACATCTAGCTCCATGAACTTGGCACATGCTGCATCATAGGTCCAAATGGGCCTCGGCCAGACGTATATACCGATGTGGCAGCCCACGCCAGCACCCGCCTCGTCCATGAGCTCTACGCTCGCCCCGCGGCGTTCCCCACGTCCGTCGCAGCGCCAATTGTGCCCGGCGCGCCTGGACACGGTCAACCGCCTGCTCCACCACGTCCTGCACGGGAGCAGCCATGATAAGAAGGCCGCCCGCGCTGCCATCTCGGCGCGTGTGGAGCACATGCAGCACTTGGCTGCACCAGATGATGCAGGCGTACCGGAGCGCCTGCCGCGAGGGTAAGGGTGAGCGCGGTGTGGCGTTTGGTGACGACGGCGGCATCGCCGTGCGAGGTGTTGGCACCGGCATGCCGATGGTCGCGGTGGAAAACTACGCCGAGAGCGCATGTACATGCTCGTCAACGTACGGTGCCGCTCGCCCCCCGTTCACCGTCGCACCAGTTTTTGGTCCATCCCGTTGGACGAGAGCGGGGAGACGTTGTTGTCGGAGGAGATGGTGCACAACCTGCTCCACCTCATCAGCAACACCAGGCTCACCATCGAGTGCAACTGTGCAAGCTCATTCACGTCCTCGTGGGGCTCACCGGCTCCCCGTCGACGATGGCCGATCGAAAGATCCTAATATACCTAGAGGGGGTGAATAGCCTACTAAAAATCTATAAGATCACTAGAGCAATTTTATTAGTATCACAAATAGCGAAATACAAACTTACTCTAGCTCTACAAGGGTTGCAAGCTACCTATCCAATAATTCTAGTTACTATAATCACTAGGCACACAATTGACTAAGTCACTACTCACTAAGAGCTCTCACACTTGCTACATTAAAGAGCTCCACTAGATGATCTTAAGCTACAAAGCAAGCTCTCAATTCTAGCTACACTAAAAAGCATGCTACAACTAGTTTGCAAAAATGTAAATGAGTGAGTAGGGTGATTATACCGTCATGTAGAGGAGTGAACCAATCACAAGATGAATACCAATTCAATCACCGAGAGAATACCAAAGGGCAAGAGACAACTAATTTTTCTTTTGAGGTTCACGTGCTTGCCGAGCGCGCTAGTCTCCGTTGTGTCGACCAACACTTGATGGTTCGGCGGCTAAGAGATGTTGCACGAACCTCGTCCACACAATTGGACACTGCAAGAACCTACCCATAAGTGAGATAACTCAATGACACGAGCAATCCACTAGAGTTACCTTTTGGCTCTTCGTCGGGAGAGAGATATAAGACCCCTCACAATCACCGGGAGATGGCCACGAACAATCACCAACTCATGTCAATCCTCCTCTGGTGCTCTAAACCATCTAGGTGGTGGCAACCACCAAGAGAAATAAGAAATCCATAGGCACAACGATCCACAAGTGCCACTAGATGCAATCATTCAAACAAATGCACTTAGAATCACTCTCAATCTCACTATCATGATGAATCAATGATGGAGATGAGTGGGAGGTGTTTGCTTAGGCTCACAAGGATGTTAGGAATATCTAAGTGCCAAGAGGGTGAGCTCCAAGCCGGCCAAACACTATTTATAGACGACCTCAAAAAGAAAGAGCCGTTGGAGTCACGCAGAGGTGACCGGACTCACTGACCGGATGCACACCTGCGTCCGGTCAACCTTGGTCGTACATGTGTCGCGCTTTTGAAATTGAGTTGCTCGATCCCAACGGCCAAAACATTACGCTTACGATGTTAAAGAACGATCGACGCACCCCTAGAAATGACCAGATGCACCACAACGTGGCGTCCGATCAAGTACAGAGAGGCACCATAGACGATTTTTTTGATCGGACGCGTCAGGTCATGAGTGACCGGACGCGCCCGGGAGTCTAGTATTCACTTCGTCTCTCTGCCCGCGCAAACCCTACCGATGTCAGCGTACGTCTGCCACGACCTAACGCAGCCCCTGCGCGTCCGGTCGCGCGCTGCCTCCTGCATCTGCTCACCAAGCTGCGCAGCGCCTCCTTTGCACCAGGTGACCGGATGCGCCCTCGGAGTCAGGTCCCTGTGTTCGGTCCATCCTCGCCACACTTGGTGTCGGGTTCATAAACTCGGGGTCCCCAATGGGCCCGCTTCCCAGCAAAAACTCGGCCCAGCAGACGGCGTAGCGACAACACGTGCCTCCTAGGTCGGCCTAGATACCTAATGACAGGTCGGGAGAATGATCCGGTCCTCGACCGGAAGGCCTGGCCAAGGTGGGAACATAGTCCGACTCAACCTACTTTTTCGACCAGGGATACGCCGGACCTCTGCTTGCAGCTCTTCCCCTGACCGACATGGTTGGGGCCGACTAGGAACGACCGACCGGGGACGCCGCTCAGTGAGGGCCCAGGGATAAAGTGGAGTAGATAAGGTAAGGTGCTTAAGTCAAACCGTAATACCGAGGACCATATCCTGCCATACCTTGCGCACCTGCATGACGGTGCCACCAGGCCATGCCAGATAGGCACTATGTAACCTTCCAGGCGTGTCAGAACCCAAATAGTATTGTAGGCGCTGACATTTACCATACTAGGTGAACACGGTAAGAGCCTATCACATGCATCTAGACATAAACAATATTGTGGGTGTCGACGACCGTCTCGTACCCAACAGCGTGGGCAACAAGACTATGTAGCACACATATACATTCTCTCTCTTTCTCTCTTGTAAGAGCCCATCCCCTTCAACTATAAAAGGGGATGAGCTCTCTCCGAAAAGAAAATCTGGCTATTTCTGGCTCTCTAGCTATTCTGGCTATTCTAGCTCTCCTCAAAAAAGAGAAGATAGATGATTCGAGCACTCAAGGACCTAAGAATTCGAATAGCTCAATAGCTCTAGAACTCCAAAGCTACACAGAGCATACGCTCCAATACTTAGCGCACGTTAGAGCCCCCGTCACTCTCGGCCCTTCGGTTCGAGTTCGACCGGGCCTTTAACACCCACCTTTTTATTCCTACTCATTTGTAACCCCACAACAAACTTTGAGCACCTGGGCTCAGGAATAAAGTCTCCGATCGACCGAAACTAAACGTATGGCATGTTGCCTGAACCAATATAAATCTAGTGTCATTGAGTGCTAGGCCACATCCGATCACAGCGCACGATAAAACTATAAATATTTACTTGTTGGTCATTTTTTGCACCGACACTCGGTCAACGCCACGCCAACACGCTATAAATGACCGGACGCTGCCTAGGGTCAGGTCGCGTGTCCGGTGCAACGTCCGGTCAGGGACCGACGTCGCATTTTCTTTTTCTAAGTCCGCAACCACTTCACCCGTGCTTCCAACTTGCTAACCAAAAAGTGTAGAACTTTGTGTGCACGTGTGTTAGCATTTTTAAAGCATTTTATAAGGGTCAAGATTGGCACACTAGGTTTCTAAATGCATATGCAAAAGTCATGTCATCTAGTGGCACTCAATAAAACGTTTAGCTAAAGATTTTCCCTCTTTATAGTATGGCTATCGATCCTAAGTCACTTACACCCTCTATGGTGTCTTGAGTGCAAAACAAATACCCATCTTATGCCTTTGCCTTGATCTTCTAAGTTTTTATTTTTCTCTTTCTGTTGAGCTTGATCATCTTCAACATATGTCCATCTCCATCTTCATCTCCATGGACTTCATCACCATGCTCCATACTTGGATTGCACCAACCTAGCTCATATCACAACTCATGACAAAGATTAGTACTAGATTTTATCAATTATCCAAAATCAAACTAGGGCTTTCACCGACATGGTCTCCGCTGTCCGAAGCTCTAGGGCCACCATCAGCCTGATCCAGTTCGTGGAGGCCGTGCATTGGGAGATCCGCGTGGACGTGGAGTCCCTCAAGCTATTGCGCAACGTGTCGCCGTACAGGGGCGCGGAGCTCGCGGATGCCCTCGACCTCGGGGGCAGCACGTGGAGCTAGCACGGGAGGTGGCCCTGGCACTGCTGTTCGTGGAGCTGCTGCAGCAGATGAGCAGCGGGTAGGACGCCGTGCTGCTCTACTTGGCCATGGCGCTGGAGAACCTGTCGCTGCAGTCGGTGAGGCTGATGGACGTGCAGAAGTCATCGCCGCCTCATCCAACACTTGCCTTTTCTGCACTTTGGGTGCTTTGGGGCCGCACCCGGAAGAACTTCCCGTCGGTCTCCCATCACTCCACCAAGCTTAACCTTGGAGTTCTTAACAGCAGGCTTCAGCCAACTTGTTTGGGCCTATTAATCGGGGCCTCGACGTGCTGCATGCACGACGGCTTCTGCTTGCTGTGGGAGACGTTCTGCCTAGCGGACGGCTGGTGCAAGGCAGTGGAGTAGCTGGTGGCGCACTGCCACACCACCCACACGCAATGCTGAATCGACACACGCCTTGCGGCAAGGTCGGCCTCAGCGTCCCATCTCTGGAGCACGCGGATGCCCGCGTGGTGGAGGCGGCGCTGTCTACGTTGCTGGGGCACGACGTGGCGGCGGATGGGTAGCGAGTGGCGTGGTCCGCCAAGCAGAACGAAGGAGATGGGCTGCCAAGTTACAACTTATTTGTACGCTCCTATTAATCCTATTAAGCCCGAGCCGGGTGTTACAATGGGCAATGCGAGCGGCGTGGTCCGCAAGACGAGCGGAGTACCGGCATGGTACGCCAAGGCCCATTTGGCCACCCCATTTGGACTCTGATTGCAGCATGGGCCAAGTTTGTGGACCTAAATGTGCATTTTAGGAGTTTAAGGACCTAGATGACACGCGCTGCCAAGTTTGAGGCCCGGCGGTGTAGTTTACTCAATGATTTTTAATCAAATGGCTCTGTAAATAAGGATTTAGAGAATGAGTTCAAGAAATTTGTAGGTCTTGTTTGGATGCATGTGTATGCACTTCAATCTATATGTGTTGGAATGGATTGTAATGAAATTTAGTTTAATTCAACTCCAATCCAATTCAACGTATATGTGATTAAGATGAATACATGGGCATCCACATGCCTAAGAGATGCTCTCGCTGCGCTAGTCAGCCAGGCAAAACTCCTATCTCCTCCTGGTCCCTCGTTCATCCTCCTCGTTTTCCTCCCCTTCTCTCCTTGCAAACAATCCAGCCACGGTTCTAAAATTATCAATGGTATTAATTGGAAACTTCCTATACGATACATTCTAGAATTTTTTAATAAGAATATATCTACTCGGTAGGATCTAATCATAATTGATAATGATAGTCATTAGATCAATATACTTAGAAATTGGACTCGGAAGTCAGAAGCATCTAATGAAACGTTGGAGATGTTGTTTATAGGCCTTGTGCAGCCTAACGCCCTGTTTGTTTGGACTTGTTTGGCTGATAAGATATGGCTGAAAGAACTATTAACTGATCTGGTGTGAGAGAAAAATACTATTTATTAACTAAAAAATACAACTTATAAGAAAAACAAGCACAAACAAACAAGACGTTGGGCTCCAAAAATGGGCCTGGTTCAGAAAATACGTTTGAAGCCCAGCACACACAACACTCCCACACCCACACGCGACCAGACACCAGAGCCCGGTCTTGAACGCAGACTTGCCGGGCGCCAACCCAACTATCCTCTCCCATCCGCCGGCCATGCTAATTAGCAACGGGTGAACCATCAAACGACCCGTGACTTTCCATTTTTAGCAAAAAAAATCGCAAATTTTCTTTTTTAGAAAGTTTTTCATTTTTACAAAAACTGTATTTTTTTTAAAAAAAGTTACAAAGTTATACTTATAACTTGTGAAACAAACTTTAACCTATAACTTATACATATTACTTCAATATATACATTCAATGTGGTAAAGTTACGCACATAACTCATACATATAACTAACTACGTGACAAAGTTATACATAACTTTATATATAATATGTTGCGGAATAAACTTATCAACATAATTTCTTACCAAAAAGCTAAAAAAAATATACACAAAAACTTTTATGTATAACTTGCTTCTATAACTTAGATATATAACTTGACGAATGATTTATATGTAAAGTTGGACGTATAAGTTATTCAAGAACTTAGATAGACTACTATAAAAAGTGAAAAGAGAAAAAAAAGAAAATTAATTAATTAATTAATTAATTAATACAAGCACCGGAACCACGCATACGTCTTGTATTAATTACGTCGACTTCTATTCCCTCCGAACGTTCACGAATACGGACTTACGGTACCTCGCATGGAAAAAAAGAAAAAACAAGTCCGACGTAATTAATGGAATAGAAGTCGAAAGGAGTGTTCACTAGATTGAAGCCGAGCGAACGAACGCCGATCTGGAATTGGGCCATCCGCTCAGAAATTTCTCAAAAAAATCTTATCGTGCACTTGTTCCTATCCTCTCGTCCAATCATTCCTATCTGCTCCAGGACAATGCCTACCACCACCGCAAAGCCAAGAGGCACGGACACGCCAAGGGAAGCTAACAAATCCGGTCAAGCGCTGCCTCGGTCTTCGCCGGCATGGGTTTTCGGTGGGCTACTCGGAGCTGGTGCTCCTGAAGTAGCTGCTCCACCTCCTCCTATTGCTGGGGTACATTCGTCGCTTCCTTCTCTGGTGTTCGATGCCGTGGGCCTCGGCGACCTGCTGGATCTCAGGGACGACCACTAGGCACTATTGCAAGATGATACGGCGTGTGGCTGCCCTCTCGCGGTCCTGCGGTTGCTGCCTTCCCGCCGCGTTGCGAAGCCGCCGCCGCCGGCACGTCGCCTACAAGCGTCACCGGGCCGCTGCCTCCTGCACGCCGACGAACCTCCGTTATCCCAAGCAGCAAGGAGATGTTGCACTGAAAGCATACGTTGCAATTGTATGTTTCAAGTGTTTCAGATGCTTTAGAGGTATGTTGCAAGTGTTTCATACAGATGTTGCAAAAGTAGATCGGGAATGTCGCATATGTTGCAATGGTTGTAAATGTATGTTGCAAATGTTTGTTCCAATGTTTCATCTGTGTTTCCAGGCGTATGTTGCAAATGCGTTTATCTAGATGTTGCATATGTTTCACACATATGTTGTAAGTGTTTTTATCTATATGTTGCGTATGTTTGCAATGGTTCTTAGGCATTTTCAGGTGTTTTTGCAAGTGTCATATGTTGCAAGTGTTGTATCTGAATATTTTAAAAGTAGATCGGGTATTTACATATGATGTTATGTCACCCGCCTGCTGCAGCTGCTATAGGGGGAGGGCGGAGTGCAGACGCCACGTGGGGGCGGGTGGGTGGGCAGATGCCGCGTGGGGTTGAGTGGGCCAAACGCCGCGTCAGGCTGGTGTGGGGGCGAAGTGCAGGCGTGGGTGTCGAGGCGCTAGCACTACCTGTTTGATTAGTAGCTAGGTTCACGCTTGACAGCCAGACAACAACTCCAATTCAAGTCCCCTTATTTGAAAGCAACAGTAAGTAGGGCTTCAATATTTGGATGTAAAATTTAGAGTAATTGCTAGGATTATCAGGAAGAGATGAAGCGACAGAATCTGCTGCGTTCATAATAACCAAACAAAACAGTCTTTGGTGATGGAAAGAATGATCGACTCAAGTATGAAGTAATCCCAGTTGCCACCAAGGCCTCGTTTGGATCCACCTAGATTTTAAGAATCTAGCTTTTAAAAATGAGATCAGCTTTTAAAAACCAGGGATCCAAACACCCTACCAAACTAGCTTTTAAAAATTAGAGCTAATAGCTGGTTTTTAAGAATCTAAAACTGATCCAAACATGCTCTAAAACCAACTCAGTTCTTCCTCAAATGCGCGCCGCGCTTCCAGATGCACACATATATCTATGATTGCTACTATGAGTGCAAACGAACCTTCTTGTAGGATAAAAGTCTGCTAAAGCCTAAATCAAACATAAATAGAGAACATTCCTAAAAACACGTGATTTCCAAATAAAAAAAACAGGACTGCTTGGTTAGTGCATCATCAGTCATGTTGTTCTAGGCCTTGGCCTTCGAACACCTTATCGTCGATCAAGTAACGGAAAGCACAAGAATAACCGAACGAAAGGAGCAGGGAGAAATGAAAGGCACTTACAAATAACTCAAGAAATTTGGGTTTCATTCTCCGCTCGTAGTATTTCAGATGCCCGATAACATGAGACACAAAGTACCAGGAGTACTATATAGTTGTAACACCCGTACTTAAAAATTATTATTAGGAAACTAATATAAAGCGGGGGTCGCACCCTATCGATCAACCAGACATGAGATCCTCGAAAAAGTCGATCTTGTCCCCGCTCGCCATGTTGAGGTCCTCCGGCGTGTGCTCCCCTTTCAGCCGCCTGCCATCGAACACGAAGCGCCCCGCGCCGCGCCTGCCGGCGCCCGCCGAGCACACCACATCATAGTAGTAGTCCATGAGGCTCTGCAGCTTGTCGGTCCTCCGCATGGTGCGCGCGACGACGCGGCGCTGGGTGTCCTGAACCTCGAGGGTCACCACTCACCAGCATCACGGGCTTCACGACGAATCATTGGCGCCGTGACGACGACCACTCTAGGGGGCTGTCCACCACCTGCAGCCCGCCCGAGGACTGGCGCGACCAGCTCCTCCTTCCGGCAAGGGGACACCACCATGCCTAAAGCCTGATCGGTCAACTTTCTCGGATGCGTTTTCTCACTAGAGAGTTGCTTTCTCATGAAAGTGGCGTCGCACCAGGGATGTGCTTATATAGGTTCTCACTGCCCTTCCATGTACTCCTTCCTAATATTAGTATAATGCCCGTACTAACGCCACGGTTTTATCTTGGGGATGCACATGAAAATAATCAATGTTTTTTTTCTAGAAATGCTATATTATACCCGTGTGTTTTTGGTTAGGTTGGCACCCGATTTTCTGTTCGTCAGATTGACGGCGGGGATGTGGTGGAGCCATCCGATTCGGCGACTCCCCTTGCCTGCGGCTCCTTCCTTCCTCCCCTCAGGCGACGGCGGCAGCATCGGGTTCCGGCGGATCTGTGCCGACCGGAGACGGCAGCGGTGGCAGTTCCAGTGAGCCTCTCCCCAAATTTTGTCCTTGTCCTTCTATAGAAAAAAAAATTATTCCTTGTGATTTATAACTTGTGATGTATGATCTGTGATCTGTGATTTGTGATTTGTGCTAAGGAAGAAGATGAATAGTACCAAGGGCGGCGAGCTGCGATAGCCGGCGGGAGGTAGAAGATGAACAGTGTCCGACGACGGGAGCTAGAGGATGAACAGTGCCTGCCAAAAAAATCAAGTGTTGGATGGGGGCAAAACACCCAGATGTGGGGTAGACGAACTCTTTTTTTTTCATAGTTCAACTTTTACACAATTGTATTTGAGCATGTATACAATCCGGGAAACACTTTTGCATAAACAAGGTATAGTAAAGTTATTTCTCATATTAACCATCTAAGTTACATTCTATCTAAGTTCTTAATCATGACTTGGAGATCTTTAGGGAAGCTGTCAAAACATTCGTTTGCACGGCTTTTAGAATATCCGCCAAGAATTCCATCCTCAGTGAAATTGATAGTTGTGCATGACAGATAATAAGTTAAGTTATTAATTTTTTATGTAGTGTACGGAATATAGTTAGAGAATATATGCTTACAGTGTTGATCGGTGGCAATCTTACACCATCCCATGACTTCATGAAATTGTATACATAAAAGCCTCCTAATTTCCTAGAGAAGAGCATTTGTTTATTTATTGTACATAAATCAAATAACTATTTTGTGATAAGAAAGATGAAACATATTATAAGTGATTACCGGTCTTTATTTTTTTGGAACTTTTGTAACACATGTAGGGAATTTTTTCTTCCAATAATAAATATTGCCATTCCACTTAGAATTTGTCAGCTTCATGGGGAGACTGAACCTTTTAGCAATAGTGTGAAATGTAGCTATATATGGCATGATTTGATCATAACCCTTATAACATACATCATCTAGGAGTGGATCCATAATGTGCACAATTTTCTTTTGTATGTCCATTATGAATAAAGTGTATAGTCCATCTCAATAATATGGCAGTAGAATCTAAAAACATAGACACATACTATAAGTGCTAAATAAAATATAATATAAAATATAAAGAAGTACACTAAACATGTCTTACATTGCTGCAATCTTTATTTTTGTAATCCATATCAGGCCAGCACTCGAGCACTTTTGCTATATAATAGAGATAAATATATGCTTCATGTAAAGATGTATATAATCATTCAAGAAATCAGAGATGACATAAAGATGTCGTTGTGGTACATTGCGTGTGTCAATGAATGTTTCCATCATCATCGTATAAGTCTTTGTTGTGCAATCTATGGATGACGTCCATGCCAGCTTCGTCACCGTCTTCTCCATTATGTGTTGGTTCGAATAGTTCAGGGTCGAATTCATCCCCCTTGCTGTCGCCACTTACATGGTTGCCACGCAGCTGATGCAAATGAAATTCTGCATAGATATATAATATTATATAATGTATATAAGCATAATAAAAATTATATGACGATGGTTTTATTTTGTTAATAGAGAAAAATTCAAGGATGTGCTGACCTGCCTCGCCGGAAGTAGGTAATGGTCAAGAAAGAACCGTACACGGGCCTCTATGCCCTAGCACATAATTATCATTTCTGTGTAGCCAATCTATGGGCTCTGCTGAACTCGTCATTTTCCATTATAGTCAATAATCCAGTTCCAAAATTCGCACCTTGACATATGAACCGAGGTTCATGATATATCAGGCGGTGGACGAAATGCATAGGGACGAAATGCATAGGTTGTAGATATTTCTCACCTGCGGGTGAGGATGTCAGCCCTATGAGGCACAACAGCTGCGGTGCTAATATTTTGTAATTCAGCCTTCTTCCGTGCTCGGTATTGACGTTGATACTCCTGGTGTCTCCATTTACTCTCTTCCCTTTGTTCATCGGTCATCTCAGCTCTTCGTTCCGTTGTTGCGTGTTCCTTTCGTCCATCTTATCGTTAGCTATGTCTGCAGGTCTCGTTTGTGGGGCCAGGCATATATTATAGTAGAGATTAAAATAAGTTATTTTTACACAATAAACTTGAAGTTACCTAGGTGATCATTACCGTTGCCCACAGATAATGCACTGCCTGTTGTGGTCGTGGTGCCAATACCAACATGGTTATGATTCCCGTGTGTATCTATCTGGTGGGATATTTTTATTGTCCAGTATAATTGGTGTGATTTGGTCCATCTTAGAGTAATTAGTACCTGCATATATTTTTGTCATATGTACAAAAGTTTGTTTTATATTATATATAAAAAAGTTACTAATACTTAATTAATTAATTAATTAACTCAAAGTATACCCGTGTCTATGGTCGCTGTGCCAATGCCCACATGTATATCATTCATGTGTGCATCTTCCTTGTCCAATATAATTGACGTGATTTGGTCCATCTCAGAGTAATTAGTACCTGCATATATTTTTTGTCAGTTGTACAAAAATTGGTTTTATATTATATAGAAAAAAAAGAAAGTATCGAAGAGATTAAGTACCGTGGGTGTTGTTGTAGGCATTGTTTCAATCAAAGCATAGGAAGTGCTACTATTTTGGGATGTAGCCTTCTTCCGTGCTCGGTAGTGATGCATGTATTCATGTTTTTTTCTGTTCATTTCTTCTCTGCTGCATGTTTCTTTCTTCCCTCTTCCGCGAGGAGTCATCTAAAGTGGACGGTTGGATATATATTGGAAATTACAAATACACAAAAAAGTGTTGTATAAATACATACCAAAAGCATACCTAGCATGTTGGTGATATTGCTTAGCGAATCACGTGTATATCCTAATGTAGACATTGCGAAGTATCCGCGAGGATCTTCAGCTGGTAGTAGCGGCGGGCTGCAGGATTTACTCACGCTAGTGGCCTGCGATAGCACTGGCAAATAATATGTATCTAGTTTTTTTTAATTAAGTATATCAAGATAGTATCATGTAATGGTGGATGATCTGCGCCTCGTACAGATAGCCAAAGCTAGTATTCAGCACCATGTAATCTCTAGTACCCGTGAATAATATGCATCTAGCATTTTTTTAATTAAGTATACCAGATGAAGACGACAAAAATAGTTACGGTGCTTTATGTAATCTCTGTTTTTTTTTCTAAAGATGCTATTGCAAATTTCAGTGACTAATATTCATGGGATATCTGAGAGATTTGCACTTATAATTAAGTACCTGCGCAATGTCGCCGACGGTGACAAGGATCGCGCCGTCCACTCGACGGTGACAAGTATCAGGAACCAACGAGGACCTGATGTTGCTACGGCGGCCCGAACTGAGCGTTAGCTTGCTTGCTGCACCCTACGCGTGAGCCACACTCACGGCTGATGCGTCATGCGTGAGTCTCTGACCCTAGGAGGCTAGGAGAGATTGGGAGACAAAAATAGAAACATGGGCCATGTTTACATTGTAAAAAATTTGAACCCGATAAATAGTAGCACTTTCGTCTTATTTGGTAAATACTGTCCAATTGTGAACCAACTAAGCTCAAAAGATTCATCTCGATTTTCAAAAAATTAGAACCTACATTTAATGACTAAACCAACTAAACAAACAGCCTAAATGAAGATTTTGAGACGTACTGCAGAGGACTCAGTGACTCACGTGTGCTTCTCGTCGTCCAGCGCCTGCCGTGGTGCCGCCGGCCGCCGCCGCCGCCGCTATGCGTATGTACGAAGCACAACACAGCAGGGATGTGAAGGGGCGCAGGCCGACCGCAGGGGAAAATACGAAGCTCGCACTCGCACGCGTGAAGGTCGTGGGCGATCGGCGCGGCTTCGTCCTCCCCTCCGCGGCTTCCTCCGCAGCGCCGACCGCGAAGGGCGTGGGCGCGGGCGATTGGGACATCGACAGCAGGCGCCACGGCTTCCTCCTCACCTCCGTGAAGGGCGTGGGCGCGGGCGATCGGGAGGTTTCCGCGGCGGCGGCCAAGAAGGTTTCGAACATCGTTTTTTTTTTGTTTCGGTGATGATGATCGGTTTCGATGGAGCGTTGAATGGCGGACACCGCGTTGAAGTACGAGCAGGGTGCGGGGGTGAGAAGGCGGGGTGAGAAGCCTGGCATCCCACATCGAATTATTGCCATCGGATTTAGTTAAGGTGTTTGATTAGCCCTTAATTTTAATGGTGCTGAATTCTTGTGTGTATTTTTCTAGATACGCAATGGTCGGAGGCTCTCAGCTAATGATGTTTTTTTTTAGAGAACCTAGTATAATTTCGACCAGTGCCTTGCAGTAGAGATTAGTGGGGTAACGAAGCGACTCCGGCGGCCAGTTTGCAGCGAGTGGGAGCGATTATTCGATGCGAGAACTGAAGAAGATAATGCAGTCAATGAATACTTGCCCACTCGCTAGACTACAGTCTTCTAGTGAATGTCCAATTGCGTTTGCAACGGTTC